CAGAGCAGAAGAAGATGAGCAGATTTCTCCTCTCCAACAGACTAAGGAGGATAGCCCTGACCCCTGCTGACCCAGGAGGGAGGGAGGCGGGGAAGGATTGAGGGTTGGATAGAGGGCGGGGGTGGAGGGGGGAATGGAGTGACAGGGGGAGAAACACAGGAGGAATGTGAGATTACGGCCACTATCTCCAGCAGATACCGAAGGTCCGTCTCCTCACTCCTTTAGTCCACAGATAGGAAGGGGGGAGAGGGGAGGAGGGGGGACAGAAAATGAGGAAGATGAGGGAGAAAATGAGTTTTTAAGAGTCGGGACGAGATGCTTTCCATATGAATGCCAAGACCTCAGAAGAACAGAAAAAGACTATACAGTTTAGAGGAGGAATAGGACAGTATGGGCAGCGGAAGGGGTGGGTATCGGTGCATCCCTACAAGAAATGAAGTGAAAGCATGTGCAAATGCCAGTACAGTGCAGTGGGGAGGGTTGTGTCAGGAAACGCCTCGATATCTGAGCCAAACAAAAGGCAGACCAGCCAAAAGAAGAAGAAAGAGTACCTTCCTCAGGTCTGATTCAATAAGGTGTTGCACCAGAGCAAACTGGGAAAGATAGTTCTCCAAAAAAACCTTTTTGTAATTGCTTTGGTTGCTAACACTTCTCCGACTTATCTGTTAGCGACCAAAGCAATCGTAAAGAGGTTTTGGATTTAGCACCGTATTCTGCCAACAACGTGCAGCAAATGGTCGGGGAAAACACATCCAGCCATTTAAGCTTGTGTGACCAGCTGCTGCTGTTGTTGGTTCATTAAACTGCAAACAGAGTGCAGTGCAATACTTTAAAATCCAACAAAACAACACCAAGGTGATGCGATTCGGCCATGACCACTACTGGCGATCTTTGGGCTCTGCCATTGTGGAATCCGCCCACACCTCCTTCAACGGTGTCCTTGAACTGGAGTTGGAGGATGAAGGAGAAATAAATGAAATGGTAACCGTGCACTTTTAGCGATGTAAACAAGGGTTTTGCCAAATGATATTCAAACACACACTTCCCATCCATGATATGAGATGCTCAGCTAGCTACTACAAGCCACGAGCCAACAAAGATAAGCATGGCTTCATATCACATTTGACTTCATTTTTGTGTATGCCTCAGGGTGCGGGATGAGTTATCGCAAATATTTAAACATTTTACTGCAAGATAGTACAGGGATTCGATATATGAATACTTTAAAATGCAGGTAAAGGGAAACGTTTAAAAAACATATTTTTTCCTGTGTCTTTAAAGCTAAATATTATTGTCATTGCACTCTGCCTCTGTTTTAGGAACGCCACTTATGTCTCACGTTCTTCTGGGGGGCATCACAGAAGGTGTCCCAATGAGGAAAAAATAGAGGGAGTCTGGTTTGATGAGCTGCATGCAAATGACATGTAAAAATATAAAACTGCGATACTTAAAACGGGGGCTGAGA